TTTTAGTGTCGTCACGCAACGCTCCTCCCCACTAACGGCTGCTGAAAACCGAACTACATTCCTTTCCCTTTGTGTTTGTGGTCTAACGAACAAACCAATCATGTACAAGAAATTTGACAATACGCGAGCCGCAGGGCGCTAGGAAGCGAGCACGCTTCTCAGTTTTCGACAAATCAATCAATCGTCGCTGAATTTAGACGGGCTCTGTGTTTTCAAGCAACGAAAAGGTTAATTTGTAAAAAAGTTTGTTTTAAGCGGTCAAGAAAGTTCCAAGTGAAAAAAAGGTTTGATAGGCCTAGAAGACTTTTACCAGGATCGGTTGGTTCTTCATTTGATGTGCATATGTGCTGACATGTTATGAAGAAATTCATCTACCGGATGTGCTCATTGTGTTCCTGTGAAGACTAAACTCTCAATGGTACTGATTCAAAAAGCAATCTTATAAATTATCGATGAGCGATTTCCCGAAACTATACCTGGCAACTTTATGAGCACATCTATGTTTTACATCGTAATTTGCTCGACTTGCTTTCTGTTGCTGCTTATCTCCTAAATTTTGAATAGGGCTGGACTACGACAACATTGTAGTTAATTGCTTGTTTTCACGCGACGATTTTGATTATTCTGTCATTCACACATGGGGCAACGATAAAAGCAAAGCTGTGATTGGAGGAGTCACAGTACCGCAAAGGTGGCGCGAACACCTTCCAGAAAATTGGAGCTGAATTATAATTGGCTAATCACAGGAAAGGAATGTAGTTCGGTTTTCAGCAGCCGTTAATGGGGAGGAGCGTTGCGTGACGACACTAAAAACGGCTGTGTAGCAGACTAGTCATTTGGCGGTGAATTTGGTTTTCTTTAATTAGCTGTAACTTCACGCCATTTTATCCGATTGAGGTGGGGTTCTCAGTATATATATTCTTTTTGTGTAGCAAAAATGTCTGTAACATTTTAAACACTGCTTTTCAAATTTTTAATGTTCTTACTAAAAATAGGTGTCACTTATGACGTCATAGTTTCAAGAAACATCAAAAATACCTTTACAATGGTATAAAAATTAAAGAAATTTTTTCTCTAATTAAGATGTTCTAGTGTCTTGCTTCATTTGGAATATAAACTACTCGTCTGAGAGCTAAAAATTGAATTAAAGTAGTTGTGGGAGGAAAAGCCCTAGCAGTCGACCATCGTGAAAGCTGAAACATATTTCATGAATTGTATAATGTATAGATTTAGCCAGGGCTAAAAGCGAGGCTCTCATTAATAAGTTTATAATTTAAATCAAACAATGAACTTCTATTCCACAATATTCAGTTAACTTTAAAGCTCATTCATGTGACTTTTGGGGGAAAGGTTAAGTGATTTTAGAGAAAATTAATTTGCAAACAGCCCAAAAGTGAACCAAATCTTACAACGATTTGATAGCCTCATATGTACACCCAAAAACTGGCAATCATCTTCGATCACATTTAAAAGCCATTATGGCTCTTGATCACTGGAGAATCAGTGCTACAGAGGGATAAAGATTGTCCAAACCCACCAGTTTTGAAGTTACTGACCTACTATAATTATATTGGTGACCACAAGATTTTCGCTGCATCTGAGAGTTAAATCCATCGGATCATGGATATGGTCAAAACGACCATGAAATATGTGGCTCTAGCGTGGAACCCCAAGAAGTGTGCAGTAGTTCATCTCAGAGTGCACGTGAGTGTAACATGGGGATAATATTGGATAAGACAGCCAGGATACCAAGCCTGGAGGACGGGAAGCAGTACGAGTTCCTGGGCGTGCTTGAGAGTGTTATGCAGCACTATGAACTGATCTTGGAGTGAGCAGCCAAGGAGTACCTCCGACAGATGTCAGTCGTTTGGAAGAATACGATATTGTACCTACCGCATGAGAAGGGGTGGGGGGGGGGGGGCACAGGTGGTTACCAACGGGAGGCCAGTGGAGAAAAGGGCCCGGAAATTTAGGGGTGCTTTTAGACCTAATTTAAGGGGGGACCTGCCCATAAAGGGGGCAGGGTTTTTGAGGGTGGAGGGGGGAAAGCGGGAGGGGGGAAAGAGAGGGCGGCATAGGAGTGGTAGTGGGCAGGACAGGGGGGGGGGGGCGGGGGGGGGGGGGGGGGAGGCGGGTGGGTGGGTGGGGGCGTGAGGTGGTGATGGGGCTGGCGGGACAGGGTGGTGGGGGGGACGGGGGCGGGGCGGCCGGCTTGGGGGTTAAGGGGTTGAGGAGAGCTGGTGTGGGGCGGGGGGGGGGGGGGGGGGGGGGGGGGGGGGGGGGCACAGATGTTTACGATCGGTAGCCAATGGAATATAAGGCCACGAATATTAAGGGTGCATTTAGACCCTATTTTAGTGGAGACCTGGCCATAAAATGGTCCAGGATTTTGAAGTGTGAGGGGAGGAAACGGGACGGAGGTCCATGGTGAGACAGGCGTTTAGGTTCGCGGAGGAGCTCTATGTCGAGCTTAATTTCGAGCATTTCCGTACAGTCAAGAAGGAAGTGCGAAAGTGTCAAGTAGAGAGGCTAGAAATAGGAAGTTGGCAATCAGCGATGGCAGGGACGTATTGTGATACAACTAGGGTACAGGACGGAAGGTTGAGCGCTAGTGGATGTTTTTGGTGGCCGTGACAGAGTAGAAGTCCTGTCAACACACACAATCGCCAGCATGTTTGAACTGTACGAACAACTGTTACCAACTCGATCATATGCAAGTCAGAAGACCCATACAAGTTCAGAGGGTGAGGCGTGTGCAGCTTTAAAGGTACAGGGTGCTGCTTGATTTGGGACTCGTAGATGAAATTCCTCCCAGGTACTCCCCGACCAAGCCTGTACACGAGTCGGATGACGTACAAGCTTTTTGGGACGTGCCAGTTTTTGCAGATCATGAAGAGGTGAGATGCAACAGAGTTGAGGGCCCGAATCGTCACTGACCACAAGACCAAGCTGCTCACTACACGTGCATTCGAAAAGAGTTGTCCTTGGATCAACAACAGAATGAAGAAGAGCGAACAGAAGACTTCAAAAGCACCCCCCTCCCTACTTTGGTAATTAAAACAGCCGCACGAAGTAAAAAAAAACAGAACATCATCATTGATGCCCTGGCGGGGGGGGGGGGTTATTTGAGATGGACACTTTTAACAATGTACGAGATTTTGGGGAGCAGAAGTAAAGAGCCGCTAAAAAGAAGGCAGTTTTGTCGGGCACGCTCAATAGTGCCCAGACATTTAAGGGCGACGGTCAGGAAGTATCGCCCATTGAGTGGCAAGAGTTAAAAAATCGATTTCTTTTATTTTTTGTCCATCAAGATAGCTTTTTAGGTAGATAAGAAACGGGATGTAACTTGTTTAAGCCAAAAGCCTTTTATTTCGATAAAAATCAGAATATCGGTTTTCGAGGCCGGAGTCTCAAAAGTTTTAACCTGAAATTCGCTAACATCAACTTTCTTCACGTTCGCAACAAAGCTTCACGGAAAAATTTGGACACTTCCCATCAACAGAACAACTCTTTTTCTTTCACTAGAAGATACTTTCAGTGAAACAGTGAGACTTGTCCAACTGAAATAATTCAAAAACGAGGAATAGTTTTTCACAATAACGAAAACTTAACTTTATTGCTCATTTCCTACGGCAAAATTTAACATGTGGTATAACTCCAAATTCTCTTCATCCTAGTTAAATGACAGATTTAGACATTCATCTAAAACATACCTGGGAATATGCTTGGCTTTTGCTATACAGCAATTACCAAAAAATAAGATCCCTTAAAAGTACGATATTAGCAGCCTGGAGCATTCCTCTCTTTCATTTTAGTGCAGTCAGTAGAACATTGGTAATTTAATCAAGTGGTTGTGTATTTGATTCCCCCTTCCATCAGATATTCTTTCTCCTCGTTCGACCTGAGAATATATATTTTTTCTTAACAAAGGATATTTCTGGCCACTTCTTTCATCACTTTGCAAATCTTCAGCCAGGAAATGATTACCCCGTTAGCAGAGTCGTTTCGATCCTTCCTAGTAAGAGGAGACTCTGTTCGCAGGGTAGAAAATGATAATCTTTTGAGATTTCGTCTGTGTGGTACGGTGTCCAAACGTAGGTTGGTTTTCGATGGGCATGATGATCAATTGCTACATGTGTTAGAAGCTCTGCCTTATACTAGGGCTACTGTACATGAGCTTGATAATGGAATTGGTAGGTTTGCGCCACTACTTTCCTGCCCCCCCCCCCC